TGGGCGTGGACGGTGGGTGTGAGGTGTGGGTGGCTGGGTGAGTGTGGGTGTCAGAGCTCGAAACGAACCGTACTTTTCCGTTTTGGGTTCGGTTCGACTCGACGGAATTTTTGAAAAGTCGGTTCGGGTTCGGTTCGGTTCAAGTCGAACCGAACCGAACCGTTTAAATTCGGTTCGAGTCAATAAAAATAAGTGGAAGCAAGCTGTACTTTAGTATTTTAATCATTGACATTCATATATTTTGATTACCCTTCAATTAAACACGCGTTTGGAAGAAATGAGCACTTGGTTGAGTATATAAGATGACTTTTCTAAACTCAGAAATGGGACAGACCCGAACCGAATCGAGGTCGACCGGTTCGGGTTCGGTCGGTTTGACTCAGCTTTCAAAATATCGGTTCGAGTTCGGGTCGTTTTCGGGCTCTGGTGGATGTGAGTATTGACTTACAGTATATCCACACCCATTCACATCCATATCCACATCCCACACACTCACACCCACACACACATCCACCCACACCCATATCCTTTAATTTATGTTCATTAGAGGATTATATTTCTAAAATAAATAGCTGAAATTGTGAATGTCATATTACATTCGTAGTTACTAAATCTTAGATTCGATCACGATCACGATCATGATCACAAAAATGAAACTATTTGTAACTCACGATCACGATCACGCGTGATCGTAATCGTAATCGTGAAATTTTTGATCACGCAGTATACTAATCACATGTCTAGATATTACTTACATTCATTTATATAATTGTCACAAAAATCATCGACGAAAATCATCTGTCTAAAAGAAACGACATTTAAGAGTTTCGCACAAGTGCACAGAACTAATGATAGATTTTTATCTCATTATAATACTGTTAGTAACACCTCATTAAATTGAGAAATTACTAGTCAGACTGTTCTATTTGATGAACATGATTGAAATACTGAAAAAATTGGTATAACTGTTTTAATATGATGACTTATAATCACAATGTATAACTCAACAAAAGAAACAAAAAATGTATGTTTCTCTCATTGATTGAGTTTTCCAAAAAACGAAGAATACTAGAAATATTAATTTTAGTGGCCTACATCTTCTAGCTTTGTTAGCAAAATGTTCTAATGTTGATGAATCTAAAATTGATTTTTCTCATCAGTGAATATAAAAAAACTTTAAGTTCATCGATTTCTGATGAACATGTCGGACGATGTGTTGAGTGCACACCCACGTAGCCGAATAATGGCATAATTACATGATAATGCAACCTATTTCATGAATTTTAGTGTATCATTTCACAGATAATACATTGTAATGCATTATGTACACACCTAATGTATTAAAATGCGTGAAGTAGGTCAGATTGTCATGCAACTGTGTCCATTATTTTCATAGCTACTATTTAAACAGCTCTATTCCTTATTTTTCTCTACATCCTAAATAAAGTAATCCTTGTCACTCTCTGCCATGTTTACAACGTTCAGTATAATACGGCCCTAAAACTTTCTCACAAGTATGACTAAATCCATCATTGCATCCATCTTTCCATTGATGTTAGGATCTCCTTGTTGAGTGATTCTCGTCTCATTGTACTCTCACCTGCTCTTTACTTATTAGTTTATCCTCTAGTTGATTAGTGGATTGTTCATTTTTTTTCTCTTTTTGTTGTGTCTGTCTGTTATTTTGCAGTTTTTCTTGCTTTAGAAAGCAGTGTAGTGAAACCGAATGTCTCTCACATAACGATCACTTTTGAAAACATCATATCAAAATGAATAGGTGGAAGAGACCGGAATCTATCATTTCTGTGTGTCTGTTTTAAGTTTGTTGGTCATAGTTCAAGTGAATTGACATTAAGTATGAGTCTCGTAATTGTCATATATGTCAAATCTGAAAGTTGAATTCAACTAATCAATTGTTGAATAATTGAATATCTGAAAAGGTCTTCAATAATTGAATTCAACTTTCAGGTTTGACACTACTGATATTTCACTGGAAAAATCTTGTCGGACCGTTCGAGAGATTTATGGAATAACACGAATCTTCATACTCGAGATATCTAGAGAGTTCTTCACGAGAGTTTTCAATCACTTTGTCTTATACAATCAAATGATTTTTATAAAACTCTGATAATATCCTATTTTGTAGAATGTAGAAGACAGTTTTACTGAAGAATGCGAACACCGTGACTTACCTGTAGTATTTTTGTTATAAATACCAGCCACTTCGATTTCAATATTTCATCCTCTGACGGAGGCATCCGGTTTGCACTATTTTCTAAGAACGTTGAACGGTTCGAAAAGATTTTCCTAGTGAAATATTGACCCACAAAGACGTTTTGTCATATAAGCAGAAAAATAGCTAAAACTAACTTTTCTAAATTTATGTGTTGCTTTTAATTAAGTATATGAGTAATTATCGATTTTTTACCATGAACTTGGAGTCCAACTCATGATTCTTTATTGCTCAAAAGATGAGCTCATTCGCTTGGATAATGGAGACTCTAGAGTTTTGACAAGTTTGTGATAGTGATCGATGCACTATTTCCGTATAGCAAAGTGTTTGCTTCTGAAATTTTCAGGAAACAATGGCCACCTATGTGAAAATATCTCTAAATATTTCAGATCGATTCAACTATTGCTGAGTTATTGACCTCTCAATGACATTCTATTGTGTTTACGTATATCCATGTTTTCAGTAAAAATGGTCTAACTCATCAATAACTCGACAGACTTCGATAAAATTTATTCCGAAAAAAAGCCATAATGTAGGGCTACAAAACGAGCCATTGGATGACTCAAAAGCTCTGTCTATTATAGAGTTAAAAAATACACAATAAAGGTGAACGGCACCTATTATAATTTCCTTCTAGCGTTGGGCAATTTTGGCACTGATCGTACCATCAATGTACATTCTCTGTGGACTACCTATAGACCAATTTTCAGACGTTTAGCTCGTATAGGAACTAAGATTCGAGGGGGATACCTTTGGTCAATAGTGTATAACAACTCAAAACTTACTTAGGAATATCCAAAAGTAGTGTTAGATGTACTTTATTTTTATATGGAATGATAATAAAAATAACGCACTATTTTTCTTTCATATCTCATCGATCTTCAACTCTAACGTCATAATAATAAAACTTCGATAATACTAAATTATAAGTTTTCCTAGTATATGGTCTGAAGTTTATTTAATCAACTTTTTAAGTGTTTCAAAAAAAATTGCTCTATTATCAAATAGAAAAGGACAAGAAAAAAAATTTTTCACAAAAACTACTGGAAAAATCATTTAGAGATTCGATTGGATACCTATAAGTGGTGAATGATTAATTCTAAACATCTGAATCCTATGCACTTTGGTAGATCTTTCATTGACGATTTGCATACACACCTAACAATTGAAAATTCGTTGTAAGAACTTCATGGAAAGAGTACTGTTTTTACAATAATTGCATATAACAAGACAGTTTCTTCTAGAGATAAAGTATCTCTGGTACCACTTTTGAGTAGCCGTAAGTATTACAAAATTTTCAAAATAGTTTTAATTCATTTATATTAGATTTGGAGGTAATCATTTTCTATAGTAAATCAAGATGATGAATAAGCATCAAAATGATTCGGTAAAAGTTAGCTAAACTTTGATCAAGTATCAACCTCTACAAACGAAAGAACCTCTCCGACTGATATCTTGCGCTTAAGCTCAAATTTTGCTAATAAGTACTAATTGTAGTTTAGATGAAAAGTTTAAAAAAGATGTCGTGCGCTTAGATCTTTCTCCTCGAGTCATTCTCATTTGCTGAATTATCAGTACATTGACCATTATTACCAAAAAAAAACCGTAATAGGAAGTGTTTATCTAAAACCTTTCAGAATAAAAGAAAATTTCAAATGGAAACTTTGTCCAACTTTTCTCTTCAAGTCCTACAGTATGTTGAAATTTGAGTAAAACGACCATAACTCGAGAAGCAAGGTACAAGGGTATTAACCATTTTAGGATTTTTCATCTAAAATATGATTTCTACTTATAAGCAAAATATGACCTCACAAAGAAGGTATCAGTTGAAGAAGTTCTCTTGTAAAAGCAATTGCATTGATCTCTATCTGCTAAACACATTGACGTGGAACAGACATACAGCCGTCATTTGATAGACAGTATTTCGTGAATTCTTAGATTAATAAGAAAAGATCTAATCAAATTTATTGCAAAAATTATCATTTGTTAGTCTTGATTAAAGCTTTATTAAATGGAACGAGATTTAATAAAGTAAAAAACCTAACAGTTTATGACGTAGGTGAAGTTAGCTCCATATTCGGGTAAAACCTTCCCATATTCGTCCAGGAACGTGTTCCAAGTGTTCCAGCCCGGTTCCAAGTAGAACTCAACGAGCTCTATCTAATGGTCACCTTCGATTTTCCATAGCCCAAACCAGTCCTGAGGAAAATCCAAAATAGTACCTTTTCACTACATGTATAGTCACTAAAACCTTCCCATATTCGTCCAGGAACGTGTTCCAAGTGTTCCAATTCGGTTCCAAGTAGAGCTCGACGAGTTCTATCCAATAGTAACCTTGGACTCTCCATAGGCTAAACCAAACGTGCGAAACATCCAAAATACTGCCCTNAGTTTTTATTTATATATCGAAAGTTGTTTTTGAGTGAAATGTAACCGTTATTGAAATTCTTTTCTGAAACAGTTAAATTTCACTCAAAAAACAATTCTCCATGTCTAAATAAAAAAGTAAGAGGACTTTTTATTAAATAGATTCACTAAATCAATTTGCGGCCTTTGATAATTTACATTTATTCTTAGATTCCTAAGACTAAGGATTAGTAGATTCGTATCCTAATCATGCCGGTATACCGCCAGTTGTTTTGTTACTACCGGTATACCGCCGATTTTTTTGCAACTATCGGCAAAACCGCCGGTTAACCGCCGGTAGAGCGCACATTATACCGAACGGTCTACCGGCGGTATACCGTCGGTTTTTTTCCGGTTCGAATCACATGGGAACTGATAATCTTGTATTAATACCATAAACTACCGGTAATAAACCATCTGACCAATGTGACGAGTTATGTAATGTCATCCATTTACCAAGAGCGTCGCATAAAACACCGTTTGCTCGTTCAACGCAACCTTGACTTTGAGGATGTCTTGGTTTACCTCTAATAAAAACCATATCTGGAAATAAATCTTTTAATTCATATATCACACTTGCAACGAATTCTCGTCCATTGTGACTATGCAATATCTTTGGTGGCCCAAAGACGAAAAATAATTCACGTAATTTTAATGCAACATCAATAGCACTTTTGTTTTTTAACGGATACGCCCATGTAAATTTACTAAAATGATCGATGCAATTTAAGATCCAATTATAACTAATGTCTGGATTTAATACATCAGGTCGTGTTCTCATATCGATCAAATCAATTTGTAATCTTGTCATTACTCCAAGTGAAATAATAGGTTTGGTAATTACATGTTGTTTGAGTGGTTTTCGTGTTTGACAAGGAACACATTGTTTTAAAAATATTTCAACAGCAAATCGTGGAATCCACGAATAATGAGAATTAAGTTCATAGATTGTTTTATCACGACCCCCATGAGAAATAGTAGCATGTGCTTCACCGATTACATTATAATAAGCTTCATAAATGCAAATTGGTTTTTTGGATTTAATACAGCAAGCAATATTAACACCAGCAATTGTAATTAAGACGAAATGTTGTTTGACCCAAAAGATAAATTTCGGAGAAAACGAGCCTAATGCTTGTCCCTTTGGTATAAATAAACATTTAATAATAGCATCATAAACACCTTGTATTATAACGCTTTTTTCTCGAAATTTTTCACTTAACGAATCAATATGTTTTTTTAATTCTTGATAATAAAGAACTTCACCATTATCGATTTGGAGGATGCTTGAATCAAATTCAGACATTTTTTTTATTAGATTGTAATGCATACATCAATATTTATACTACTTATCGACGCGACCGCTACGATTAATTTTCCTTCTTTTTTTCAGTCTATTCTACTTTTAGTCAAGCACGTACTTGTATGAATTTATCGCCAGTCAAATTCTAAATGTGCCTAGGCAAAATTGGAATTCTAGTTATGACTGATGAGCGTTTAGTCAATATTAGAATTCTAATTTTACCCAGTCAAAATTAGAATTCCAACTTTGCCTAGGCAAATTTAGATTTTGCCTGAATTCCAATTTTGTCTACAACATATATATATCTTTTTCTATCCAGGGAAACATGTATATATGTATAGTGGTGGATGACTAGATGAAAGAAAAGATATAGAGGTGAAATCAGTGCAAACAGAAAACAAAGGAAGGTGATAGAAGAAAACAAGGGAAAGAAAAGATGATGATGTATATGTGAGGGTATAGCCCGTAACAATCGTAATATTGAAAAAAATTATTTGTATTGTCATATACATCTTTAGTGCATAACTTCTATTATCTTATTGATAATATCTACACGAAGCAGCAGATATAATTTTATTGTTCGTTTCATCGGTTCAACTACTATATTAGCCTGCTATGCATATTTATTTTATTGCTCAGTAGGCTACCACTTATATTATCCTTTCTCTCGGCTAATTTTCATATATAGTGTAGAGTTTTAACTAAAATTAGAATTCAATTACTTCATATTTTTTAAGTGTTGTCTTATTGTTACTGTTCTAGATGGAAAATACCAATGCTTTACTCATTAACACCTAAAATAAAATCTTTCCCTTTAATCAAAAAGCTGTTAGTGCAATTCCTGTGGAATTAAAGCGCGAAACGCGATCTGATCACTGTCACTGACCACATAAAAAATGACCTCATTCGATCGATTTATGGAGTGATTTCATCATCATCCTTTACAGAATCCTCTAGAGCTGCAATAAAGATATACTCATACGTTCTTAGCAGCTCTTAGTAATATAGTGTCTATAATAATCTGCAGATGCCGTCTTTCACGATTTGTAACGGTGTCATAAGGTGTCTGTAACAACCTGTAACGGGATCTCAATGTGCCTATGACGGTCTATCACGACTCAATAATGGCTTAATAATGAAATATTAAACATTATTAAATATTTAATATTTTAAATAATAAATATCAAATACTCTAAATATTAAATATTTTAGCTACTAAATATTAAATAATAAATATTAATAAAATACTAAAAATATATTTAAAAATATTAAATATTTAAAAAATTATTAATTGATTCTTAATTAATTCACTCATAAGTTCCCTAATTAGCTAATTAGTTCATTTATTTGCAATGGTCTGTAATGAGGGGCTGGGGTAACGGTTGCCATGGAAACATATTCAATAATGCATGGTTTCGCGCCATATGGTTGCTAACGAGCCATAACAAAGCAGCCAGTTCTTACTGTCCTTCGTTGCTAGGGAAATGCACCCAATGATCTTTGACCTTTGACCCCGGTTGCTAAGGTCTGTAATGGGGCCCTGCGTTGCTATGGTCTGTAATGGAGGGGGCCTAGGGGATGCGGGGGGGGGGGGGGGGGGAGCGCGACAGGTTGGGAGAAAGACTGAACCGCTCTTTTTTTCG